AGAGAGAGAGAGAGAGAGAGAGAGAGAGAGAGAGAGAGAGAGAGAGAAATGGGTGAGGTCATTCCTAACTTTAAGAAGCATTTGTTGGGGCTGGAGAGATGGCTCAGCAGTTAAGAGCACTGACTGCTCTTCCAGAGGTCCTGAGTTCAAATCCCAGCAACCACATGGTGGCTCACAACCATCCGTAATGAGATTTGATGCCCTCTTCTGGTGTGTCTGAAGACAGCTACAGTGTACTCATAAATAAAATAAATAAATAAATCTTTAAAAAAAAAAAAGAAGCATTTGTTCTTTTTTCTAAAATTAGAGAAAGCAAGTTCTTTTTAAAACAGGAATGTTTCTCTTTTTTTTTTACTTTAAATTCAAAAGACTATAGTTAACATGTCTTCTAAATTTGTTGCTCCGGTTTAAGTTTTCATAATTTGAATTAATTTTAAATTGAAGTAACTAACAGATTTCTTGAAAGCATCTTCTGATTTCAGTTCAAAGGACCCTTAGCTCATGAGCATAGTTGAGAACAAAAACAATGATCTGCGGATGGGTCTACTCACATCAGGACTTCAGCTTTCACTCAGTGAGTCCCAAACGCTGGCCCAGAAGGAGGGATACTAGAGGGTCTCAGTCTTTACATAAATGCCGTTCCTCAGATCAAACACCCAAATTTCTCCTCGCCATAGATACTGCTTGTGCCTCAGTCTCTATTATAAGATCAAAGTTAGCCATTTTACAAAGTATTTGGGGCAATCTGGGCAAAAGGCTAATCGGTTCTACCTGATATCTACCTGTTTTCAAGCATCTCTTTCTGTCCTATGATGACCAAGTGAGGCACAGTCACTACTGTGTGAGAGTCCTCCTCCTGTTCTTCAGTCACCAGTAGGTTTGTGGTTGACTCCTCAAACCTTCTTCTTTCTTTTAGCATCCCCTTCTTCTTCCCTGTGACTGGGCACCTGTGTAAAAGCCATTTTCCTCTCTCTGAGCTGATCCTGATGAGTTAGAAACTATATGAGCAGCTTCGTATTCTTTTCTTTCTCAGCTGACTGGTAAGTCTTATCTTCCGCCCAGATTCACAGCTCCTAGAACCCCAGTGAGAATATGGTGACTATGCTCATCCCAGCCCCTAATTCTGTCCTATTTGTCTCTTTTCCCAAATCCTAGCAGTTTTCTCACCTTGGAATACTTAATAACGTTCTAAAAGCTTTATGACTATGTCCATTATCTCTAAATAACTTTCCACAATAGGTGTCATTGTCCCCTAGTGTGAGAAAATTGGGGTCCAGAGGTCTATATCACAGAGCTGGGGAGTGGTAGTGTCAGGATTCAGTGCCAGCTGACTCCATGACTGAGCTCTTTCCACTACTCCATTCTACCTTCCTTAAGAGCAGAGAGTCATCCAGCTGGGTTTCTTGTTGCTCTGCCCCACCCGTGAATGAATGCACTTTTCCACCTCCGCCCACATGCCCAATTATTGTTTTGGACTGTGTGATGCCTGCTGCCATCTGAATCTCATGGTTAGCACCTGCTATTGCTACACCTCCCTTCAGCCACAAATCTTAGGCATCCTCCTGTAGGTCCTTCTCATTCAACTAGAGTATCAGCACGTCTTTGTGTCCGATCTAAGCTATGCCCTGTGCATGCTTTCTTTGAGCTTATATTTAAAGAGGAGCTTACACAGGGAGGAATGTCTGGAGTTGGCACTGGCTGAATGGAGCCCAGTGCCTACAGAGGTAAGCCATGTGTCATTCACACTATCATAACATTAGTAATGAGTACCTTCCTTCAACAAAAGATGGAAGGCACTCAGAGGAGCCTGACATGTTCAATCTAACCTATGCTTTATGAATTAAACAAAGGAGTTTATTTAGGGAAATTCTTTGTCTTATTAGTTTACGAAGAATATAACCTTACTAGTAACTATCTTATATTGTAGAAACCAACTTTGCTTTGATGTGTTTGTTGTAAGGGCAAGTCCTTGCTAAAAAACTAGCAAGTGTGTGCCTGTGCATTTATCCAGAAACCAGCACTATTCCTGAGAAAGGATGACTCTGTTGATTTATTCCTACCATTTTTGGCCTCAGAAACAAGAAATCAGCTTCACTGCAAGGCTAGGCCAGGACTATGCACCTGGATCTTTGTTCAGATACTTGGCAAGGTAACAAGTTCCTTCCTTCTATTGATTAGTTGAAGCTGGAAATTACAACCCACAAGGAAAACAGTTCTCCAAAATCCGACCTTCTAAAGTGGAATGAGAACTTTGTTAGTCATACAGCACAGAGAGTAAAAGCCATGAATCCCCAGGGAATGTGGTCACTCTTTACCAAAGACCATTTAGAGACTGCTAAGTCCCAGTTTATTTGGGAAACTCTCAATCCTGACAGCATTCATACATAGAAATACCAGTTACCACTGTAGTTACTCAAGGAAATCCCTATGATAATTACACCACATGCTACTTTGAAAAGTGGTCACTGATTTGGCTCAGCTGTACTTCAGTGGATGAATAAGATGTGTCTGTGGTTTGGTTTTTTTTTTTTTTGAGACACCGGCTTGAAAATAAATAATTTATAGGAGTCAGTAATGCTTAATTACAACTCAGGGCTAGCGCTCAGCACATGACTTTCTGTTCTGCATTATTTACAGAGTCAACCCAGAGAGATAGTTTTGAGCACTTAAGTATTTACATATGCATAACCCAGAGGATATTTTCTCTTTGGAAATGGAGACTACACAATCCAATCAGCAATTTTACTGAGCCATCTTGTCCTTAAAAAGCCTTTCCTGAGATTCTCTTAACGCTACATCATGTTCCGATTTCCGCTTATTGTCAAAATATCCTGGCAAGACTCAGACTCTGGCTGATGAAAGGAAGACAGAGAAGTTCACACTGAGAGCAAACGGCATGTTTGTCCTTACCTGAGACTGGGCCTGCAGGGACAGCCTCACCTCTTCATTGTCCATGGCTGTCATGCTACTTTTACCACAGGAGACTTTGTGCAGTTCTTCCCAGCACTCTTTGGACTTGCCCTTGCAAATCATCTCCAGGAGCCTTGTGCTTCTTGTCCCACTCATAGCACATTCATAAAACGTCCCATTAAGCAAAGCTACAGAGAGCCACATCACCGGAGCCACCAGTGAACTCAGTGTGATGTGGCCCAGGACGTAGAAGAAGCGGCAGCAGCGTCTCCTGGAAAAGATTTTTTTGGGGTTCATACAGCAGCCAGTGAAGAGTCTCCACGCCTTGTTATTCAGAAAGAATCCAAGGATCAGTAACACCCAAGCAGGGGCAAAGAGGAAAACCAGCCCATAGGCAGTGTTCTCAACGCTGCAGGGGCACTTAAACGCCACTAGGGAGAAGAGACGTTCGCTTCCCACGGTGAGCAAAGCCATGAAGCTGTAGCCAATAGCAGTTTTTTGGTTAAGAAAGAATTTTAAAATGCTCTGAAAAGCATCCATGTTGGAGACACACACACACGAAGAGGGAAAGACGTTTGCCTTGGTTTTAACACAGCAACTGTGGCTCTTGGGTGAGGGTGGAGCTCTTTCGAAACAGCAATCCTCCTCTGTCTGCATCCAGCCAGATAAGGAAACAATGTCATTCCCCAGGAATGCTTTATTTCCCAACAACGCTCAGATAATGCCTCCTACTGGTGGTTGCTGACACTTGAGGGTAGCCAAAAACACTGAAAAGTAAACGCAGGTTCCTTTTAATACTCTTTGCACGTACTTTTGATTGCAAATCGAAAATTCTCATACAAATTATAGTATAGAAATTTTCTTGGCCCTGAATCAAGGCCGGCAGTTTACTGAAGCTGTTGGTTTCAAGCAGGAGCCTACAGAAATGTCTTTCTATGGTCTGTTGGCCATTTTAGAAATGTATAAATCTAATGGTCAATTCATTAGAAAGAAACATCTGGAATAAGAAAATAAGAAAAAAAAAAGGGCTGGAGAGATGGCTCAGTGGTTAAGAGCACTGACTGCACTTCCAGAGGTCCTGAGTTCAAATCCCAGCAACCACATGGTGGCTCACAACCATCTGTAATGAGATCTGATGCCCTCTTCTGGTGTGTCTGAAGACAGCTACAGTGTATTCATAAATAATAAATAAATAAATCTTTAAAAAAAAAAAAAGAAATTTTCCAGTGGGAGGCTCAGTGCTTCCAGAAATGTGTTTCAGCCACTGACTGGTAGCCAATCTCCAGATCCACTGCTTCATGATAGGTTTCTTTTCTTGTTCTGTGCTCTAAGATTTAGTATACAGGGGTTCTGGCTTTCTAAAAGAGCTTTCTTCATTAGAGACTTGAAACATAGCTTAGGGGGTGGAGTTATTAGAATTTATGTGGGAAGTCTAATAACTACAGGGGCTTTTAGAGAAAAGGAAACCCCCTCATTTCTCTTCATGTAACTTCTTTATTTATTATGATAGGTTTTGTTTTTCTTTTTTCTTCTTTCCTTCTTTCTTTCTTTCTTTCTTTCTTTCTTTTTCTTTCTTTTTTCTTTTTTCTTTCTTTCTTTTTTTTTTGTGGGAAGCGGGTGGTCACAAAGAAAATCCTTCTAAAACAGATGCCAGATCTGCATTAGACTATCTTCCAGGCTCCAAACTGCCCTCCACTTGGTTGTATGAACCATCACTGAACCTCAGCATGGTGTTTCATATCAGAACATGCTTATGTTTAAAGGATCTCTGCCCCTTCTATACCCCACTTTGTTCACATAGCAAATGCTAGCTGACTACAGGTTCTTGTTTTCTAGGACTGAACATGGTGTCACATGTAGATTGAAAACTCACTTGGAAGTTTGATTTGCAGGTGGCTACTGAGTTTGCACCGTGGTAGGATCAGTCCTCCTGTCTGTTACATCAACCAAGGAGCACAAGGATGAACATCTTTGTACTTCATGTTATAAGTAATTTAAGAAATTTTCTTCCATCTCTCTCCTGCACTGCTCTTAATTTAAAAATTAAGTTAATTAACACCTTTGAATGACGGCAGCACATCCAGTTGTCGGATTTCATGAATAAGCTTGAGAAGCTTGCCCTGAGTGTTTTGTGAAAGAATCTGTGCCTTGGATTAGCAGCCAAGGAACTAAAAGGCTACAGTCTTCACTGTTGTTCTTACTTCTCCAAATAGCAGATTCTACATTTGTGAGAGTTATGGTTTAAAAGAAATAGAGGGACCAGCGAGATGGCTGCACGGGTAAAGGTGCGTCTCACTAAGCCTAACCATCTGAGTACTGTCTCCACAACACACATGGTGCAAGGGCAGACCCAGCTCCTAGTTGTTCTCTAACTGAGTGCCATCCACATAGACATACAAAGCAAGCAAACAAACAAATGTGAAATAATGTTTCAAAACGAAGTGAGTTCTGAGCTGCTTAAGCACGGTTTGAAAACAAAGGCAGAACAGGACAAAGGAGAGTGAAGGAGGCAAAGGTTTCTTCTGTTTCTAGGTGGTAGGGTTCTTTGGGCCCTGAACCACAGCAACCCTTTTAACAACTCAATTCTCACACATTTATGTTGTCCCTACCACTTTCCCTTGCTCCTCCTCGAAAAGTGGACATCTACAGTATGATTATGGTAATTTTGTGTGTCCAAAAACTTGTTCTTGTGCCTAATCTGCCCAAAGCATACTCTCCTCAGACCAGTGATCCCCTGTTGTGAAACATGTGCCAAGCCGGGATCATGTCTAACTCTGAATTTTATGTTTTACCATGATCAGTGCGGTCTATCCCATGCTGCTGTGTTGATGATTAATGATCTTTTTGATTCTCAACATCCTAAAGCCTATGTGTTCTCTACGAGCGTTGTTGGAGATAATTTTGTCTGTTTGGATTGGTTTGGTTTAGTGTTTGAGACAGGGTTCCTCCGTGTAACAGATCTTACTATTCTGGAACTCTATTGACCAGGCTGGCCTCAAAGTCATAGAAATCTACTGGCCTTTGCCGCCTGAGGGCTGGGATGTGCTACCATGCCTGGCTAGAAATAGTATGTTTCACAAACCATATTGTTTCATAATACCTAGCCCTTTAGGATATTCTATAAAAATAAAAAATAATTTAAGCATCGCACATGGCATAAGGCCAGTAAACTGCAAAGATAACCATGATCCTCGACATCCTGGCTGCCTGCTCAGCTTGGCAAGCTTGGCACTGCTGTGATGCCTGACATAGGCTACTGGCTTGTCTGAATAAGCTTATGTTGAGACTAAGTGCTATAATTTTCTCTCTGTTTATCAGGTTGCTTTCAAGATGTACTTGGGAATTACACCGAGTGTGACCTGCCACAATTCAAGCAGAAATGAATTTTCCCTGATTCTGCACAAGAATCCTCTGGCAGAGTTCGTAGAAGAACTGCCTGCTGGGCGGTCTGCGCTGTGCTACTGCAACTTACTCTGTGGGATCATCAGAGGGGCCCTGGAGATGGTAAATCATGTGTTTCATCTTGTCTTGCATGTTAGACATCTGGAGCTGTCCTCAACATATAACAACTTCAAATAAATGCACAGTCTCTAGGATGGGATCTTAGACCAAGTACATGCCTGTGATCTCAGTGACTTGGGAGGTAAGGTAGAAGGGTCAGGATTTAAGTTCAAGGTCAAGTCTGTGCTATAGAAATCGAATTCAGCCTCATCCCAGACAATTCAGTAAGGTCTTGTATTAAAGTTTTAAAAATGAAATGGAAGACTGAGGAGTTTACCAAACACAAAAAAAGAAAGAAAAGAAATCTGGGAGAAATCTCAGTACATGCTATTTAGCCGAACAACCTGACTTCAGTCTTTTGTTCACCTACTCCATAAGAATTCATACATCTAATTTTATTTGTAGAAATTAAGGAAGGGATTATGTAATTGATGTCTCCAAAGTATAAGACAATAGAGATAATAAATCTCATGTATTTTCCTTGCAGACCCTTCCTAATATACCCTAGACTATGTTAGATTTTCTCTGCATCAGTAGACAGTAAGAAAAAGGAAGAGAATTCTGGGAAGGTTACACTGAAAGGGGTACCATCCATCTAAAACAGAAAACAGAATAAAGAAGTGTCCAGCACTTGTAGGTAATTGTTAACCATTCAAGCTGACCACAAATGTCAGAAGTCATGTGATATCACATGTCCAGTGAACTTCAGCATGGTCTTTGTGTTTCTTTAATGGATTTTCTGCTATATTTTCTAAGACATAAAAACCATATGGAATAAAATTCAGAGATTAATTATAGGCCTTGTATTTCGAAGTAGAATCCACTCTCTTTTATTGAATGGTGGGTGACAAGGCTTTTTACACTCTTTGTGAACCAGATAATTTGACGCTTGGAGGCCCGTGGTTTAGAAAATCCAGGCTCCTTGCCTAGTGGTTCTTTATCTGGGATGAGTGTGTCAGGTAAAGTTCAATAAATGTTAATTAATTGCCTGCTAAACCCAGGAGTTTTTCCTTACTACTTTCTTCCACTGGCTACCCTCACTCATTTATCTTCTTTATCCCAATGACTAAAAATAACTCTGATCAGATAGTCTATTGAAAATAGGTCAGCAATATCATGCTGCTCTTACATGAACACATTTTAATAAATAGAGAAGCCCTTGGGCTTTCTTTATTGTTTGGGAAGTGGGAAATGCTTTCAAGTTGAAAAGAAGGCCTAACCATCAAATATTCATATCTGTAACTCAATATCTAATTCTATATTTATAATGTACTTAGTCAATATTTTTCAAAGCTCTCAAAGCCATAGGCAATTGCTAAATGTTGTTAGAATAAGCGATTATATTGTTTAGCTAATGACAGAATGCTTTATGGCAAATTGGCTTGAGAGGAATCCTATAAGGACCCACTTCTGTGAAGTTTCGATTGGCCAACTACCCAGAGTGAGGTCTATCTGTGAGTCAGGAACTTGTATTCTTCCTGAAATGAGTAAACAAGTCTGAGCCCCTCCTGGACCCCCCCTCATTCTTCTTTCAGTGCCCATACCACACTGAAGACTTTTGGCCAGGCTCACCACTTTGATGACATTTGGATAGGCTCTCTCTGGATGAAGAGCACAATCCAAGGTTCTTTACTCATAACACAAATGTTTCTTATCAAAAAAGAAAGATGAAAAAAATAAAATGTAAAAATTTATTTTTTTAAAATAACACAACCCTGATTTTTTTTTTCTTTTTTCTTTCCTAGGTTCATTTGGCTGCTGATGTTACATTCTTGCAAGACAGACTAAAAGGTGACAGTGTGACAGAAATCGGAATAACATTTCTAAAAAAGCTGGACGAGAAAAAATATAGACGGAAAAAATGAAGACTAGCATGCAGAGAACCACTGGTAGCTGGCTGTCTAGTATTAGGTAAACACACAGCCACAGAGGTTTTGCATTGCCTGACAGCATGGGCTTTGACAGGCTTATAAATCTTGCTGTGTACCACACACTTTTTGCGATTTCAGATACAAGTAACTTCTTATAAAACAGTAAGCATGAATTCCACCTACATGTTCAATACATCCTCAGCCAGTCTAGCCATTCAATTACCTGTGGCAATAGGAAGAGAGAGAGAGAAAGAGAGAGAGAGAGAGAGAGAGAGAGAGAGAGAGAGAGAGAGAGAAACTACCTACAGAAGTGGTGGTAAGGGCCGTGGCTCTTTTCAGTAGAAAAAAAAATGGATGAAATGATACAGCATTAGAGAGAGACAGAGTCTAGAAATGGTATATAACAGATATATTTGCAATGTTTCTCATAGACTTTATTAATTATGAATGTGATTTTTCTTACTTATTATCTTGGCTTATTGTTGCAGTATATTGTGTGAAGGTGTGTCTGTATATTCAATTGTTAATTCTGTACTGGCAGAGAGCTAAATGCTGGCGGGATTCTGGTACCACCATTTCTATGGCCCGTTTCCAGGTTTCCTATTTTGTAAATATTTTCTTCCTCATTTGCCTAAAGCAATCTAGAATTTATCAGATTGTCAGATCTGATTGAGATTGTCTTACTACTGAGTGGCTATAATAAATATCTGGTAGCCAATAGCTGAGCCAGAGATGGAGGGTGGAACTTCAGAGAGGGAAATGCCAGGAGAAGATAAGAGACACAGACAATCGACTCAGGTGAAGAGCCAGGCCAGAGAGGAGCAGAGAGCTTCCTGCCATGTGGCATGTGGTAGGCTAGTTAGTCATGTTACATCTAGAGTTATCTAGGAGACTGCCCTAGTTGAAAGGCCTAAACTATAAAATAATAAAAAGCCTCTGTATCACTATATCATTGGCAGGTCCATGAAAGTCCTGCTGTAGCTTATGTCTTCAACTACTCTCTAGTTATAACAGAGAACCCAAGCCGGGTGGTGGTGGCACACGCCTTTAATCCCAGCACTTGAGAGGCAGAGGCAGGCAGATTTCTGAGTTCGAGAGTTCGAGGCTAGCCTGGTCTACAGAGTGAGTTCCAGGACAGCCAGGGCTACACAGAGAAACCCTGTCTCGAAAAAATAATAAAATAAAATAAAATAAAATAAAATAAAATAAAATAAAATAAAATAAAATAAAAACAGAGAACCCAGTTATCTATCTGGACGCCAATTCTGAAGCATTAAAAATTATATTTGATTTTAATTCATTTAACTTTACAGTTTAATTTCTTTAATTTGGAGATGGCTAGTATCAACCAAATATCATTAGTGCTCATGATGTTTGACTGGTGGAACCCTTGGAGATCAAATGGATGTGTCTGGCACTTGAACCAGCATGCCCTTGCACTCTTGAATATGTTCTGGGTCCTGTAGGGTGTCCCTGTTAGACTCTGCCTTCATTCCTGTCTTGCCAATAGCCATCAAACCCACCACCCTGAAAGCAGCATTCCCTGATATTCCCAGGGACACTGCATATAGAACTGCTGATGGCACCAAAATAAGAACCTCATCATCCTGAATTGAGAGCAGTGTCTTGGTATTGAATTTATGATATTGAAAGTTACAGAATAGCTTTCTTGTGTTTACTGTGTTTCATTCTGAAGATGGTGAGACTCTTGAAAGCCACATACATAGTTTCAAATACTCCTTCCTTCTCCTCATTTAATGAAATGTCCTGTTGCCCAGTCTGGCACTGAAGTCTTGATCCTCCTGTTTCCACTTTCCAAGTGCTGGGATTTCAAGAATGTAACATTATACTCAAGCTATTAAAATTAAAATTTTTCAACACCCACATTAAGTAAGTGTAAAGAAATCAGTGATATTCATTTTAATAATAAATTCCGTTTATATTTGTTATCTCACTTTACGTTCCTCTCTGATATAGTCTCTGAAATCTACTGTATTTAGCACAGCTTAGTCCAATGATCAATAGAGTTTAAAGGAAAAATGTAGCCCTTGCAAGCTAATTAATTTATAATTAGTGGTGTTTAATGGTTTTAGTGTTTAAAATTTAAATCCATTAAGCTACATTGAAACAAATACAACAATAGTTACACAGTAATTGTTTAGTAATGGTGTGTGACTTGTAGTTGCTGTCATGGACTACACAAACTCAAAGTTGAAGATTCAGTGAGTCTCTTACAACTGATCGGAAAGCCAGCAAACAACAGAGTGATCCTTGCCAAGTTGTCCTTACTACCACTGAGGTGACCCAGAGAAGCAATAAATGACAGTGGCACCAGTGTCCCATGTCTCAGAGCGAGTTCTCACCCTTGTAGGAAGCTCCATCTTTTTTGGGGGAAAGGTCAACAGAAAGTTATTTGGTACAGCAACAGGTTTTATTATATTTCTATTTCACAAAAACCCTTCAGCCTGGCCCACAAATGTTTATCAAAACAGATTCTTATTGGAGGAAAAAAAAAAAGAAATTCCTGTTCTGCCGGGCAGTGGTGGCGCACGCCTTTAATCCCAGCACTTGGGAGGCAGAGGCAGGTGGATTTCTGAGTTCGAAGCCAGCCTGGTCTACAGAGTAAGTTCCAGGACAGCCAGGGCTACACAGAGAAACCCTGTCTCGAAAAACCTTAAAAAAAAAAAAAGAAAAAGAAAAAAGAAAAAGAAAAGAAATTCCTGTTCATAGGTGTGGTGGAGGAGAAAGTTCATTATAGACATGTGGGAATGCATAGCCAGAGGCAGGGCCATCTGGGAGAGCACAGAGTGGGCATGACTCTGAGCCATGTGAAGAAAAGAGGGAGGGGGAAGGGCAGAGAGGAGAACCAAGTTCAACAGCCAGGAGGCCTTAAAAGAGTAGATGAAAGGGCCCAGGTAACCAAAATAGTTGGGTTATACAGGGAAAAGCAGCCCAGCCCCTGGCCTGGTGTACTTCAGGATAGGGTGTGGAGATGCCAGCCAGGAGGGTCCTGTATCAGGAAGGGACTGAGAGAACCTGGCAGCTACTAACTTCAATTACTGTTAAATAGGCATTGCAGCCATTTGTCCCAAGTTTGAAACCTAACACTTATTTATCATCTTTGCAAAGCCAAAGGCAAAGAAAAGTTTGAGATGGACGCTGTTCAGATGACCCCAGGTTACTGTTTGAGCTCTTTCCCAGTCAGCCTGTTTACATGTGAGGCTCTAATTTCTTGTCTTCTTGAGTTTCCTGCTTTAGTTATTGAAAGTCTGGACCCCATCAGCAGTTAGACTTTTGGGAATGAGTGGAAAGTTTCCTGTTGACTTGACTACCAAGGGTCAAGTAGAAATGTGGAAAAGCAAGTGGATAAAATGGAAAATAGTGAAGATTTTGCAATCAAAGAGACTGGCTCACCAAAAATCTACTATTTTTTATCAACACCACCAACAAAATCTGTTAAATATTTACTAATATACTAATGTTAAGTATAACTATTATTCACTCTTAAGGGGGGAAATTCATCTGAGATTGTAGATTCTGGGTAGTCATGATATTTCCTCACCCAGCTGTAGAAGCTAGTTAGCACCTTCTCAACAATACTGAAGGAGCCAGTGATTGAGTCATTTTCCCTGCCATGGAGCTTGGTATAGCAAGAGACCTAAAAACATTTAAGGAGACAAATTTATTTATTTTGTGTATATGCTTCTCTTCTTATGTATCTCTGCATGTGGTATACAGTTTGTGTGTGTGTGTGTGTGTGTGTGTGTGTGTGTGTGTGTGCGCGTGCATGTGTGTGTGTGTGCATGTGCACCTGATGTTGACATCTGGAGTCTTCGCTGGTCACTTCCCACCTTATCCACTGAAGCAGAAACTCTCAACTGAACCAGAGCTTCGGGATGCTAATCTAGCCAGCTGGTTCTGCCTCTGCTTTTTGAGTGTTAGAATTATAGGGAGGCCTCCATGTTTATCTAGTAGTTATGTGGGTTCTAGGGATTCAAACTTTTGTTTTCCTGCTTATCCAGCAAATACTTTATGCACTGAAACACCTCCCCAGCTCCCATATTTTGTTTTTTTTTTAAATCTGCCTAGTTGCTGCAGCTTCTCTGTCTATAAACTTTCCAATTTTAGCTGAACATGATCAATAGTCAACCAAGAGTATTTACGGAAAAAACCCGGTAACAGTAAAGGGATGCTACACATCCAATAAAAAAACTATGTGTGATCTGAGGAGAATCTCAGTTTTCATGCAGTCAACATGTGTCACCTTATTATTGAAAACAGAGCCACAGCAGTCAGAAACAAAATTTTATTTTTCAAATATTTGAATATAAAAAGTGTTCTGTTGTGGGTAGCACACAACAGGCAGCTGGGCTGCTTTGCATATGGAATCCACATCAAATGAAAGAAAGAGTCCAAACCAAGTAAAAAATTCCAAGGCCTTCCCTAAGAAAGTTAAGAAATACATGTCATGGGACAGTTTCTTGTTTTCCTTAAAACTCAGCCCCATTTTTCCTATTAAATTCACCACTACTCAAGAGGCAGGGAGGAAAGAATGGCCCTCAAGAAGCTAAGTTTCCAGTCAGAAGTGTAGAAGGAGGGGTCCTAAGAGCATGAAGTGATGTTATCATCGAAAGTGTTTGTCACCACAGAGGACTCAAAAGAATTTGACTAGAAAAAAAAAAGATGTTGAAATGGGAAAGAAGGTCTTTACGTGTGGCTATATCGATTAAGCTACTTCTTCATAAGCAATCACCTCCCAGTAGAATCACTAGACAGGAGCTGAACCAATAACAGGCTAGCCTTTTCAGAGGATGATTCCTTTCCACGCCATCCAATGGTATTGTCCCAAAGTTGTAAATATGAAAGAAAGGAAGAAAGAAAGAGAGAGAGAGAGAGAGAAAGAGAGAGAAAGAGGGAGAGAGAGAGAAAGAGAGAGAAAGAGGGAGGGAGGGAGGGAGGGAGGGAGGGAGG